CAAGGTGCTTTTCTAATCAGGAATATTCAGTTTTTTTTATCATTGCATTCTTAGTTTCAGTTAAGGATTATATGTACCCATTGCATTCCTAGCTTTGGTTGAGGAATAACTGACCCTTAATTAAAATTAGCATACCTGTAAAGATTATCCACCAGATTATAGACATACATGACTAACATCTTGTACGATTTTTACGTGAAATATGTATACTCCAAATTGCCAGTCTGGAGGTATTATTGTAGATAATGTAAAACCTTTTATTGAGCTGTTTGGGCATCAGGAAATTAGAGCTTAGGAGGAGATTTGGGATGAGTTTAGAAAATTAGAATGGAGGATTTAAAAATTATATATTTTCCATGCTAGCAGAGGTAAGATTAAACATTGGTGTTTGTTGGTATTTTATAAGGATGTATCTCTTCAAACATTAATGATGTTTTACTTCCAAAATGATTTTACTTGAATTGTGTGCTTTAAAAGCAAATTTAACCCTAATCTATAGGAAATCACTTATTAATCTTGAGGAGCACCAGGTATTTACATTTCAGATTGCAAGTTTTAAAATATTTATTGAAATGGAAACAGAGTCATTCAATTCTGTGTGAAATGTTGAAGTCTGCTGTCAAGACAGGACTACAAAGTGTGCCAGTAATCATGCTGAAAATTAAGCACACACACCTTTTATGAAGTGAACCACATAAGTGATTTTCCTAAATTATTTGATTTGCAGGCAATGTATTCCTGATTCATTGATGGCATTAGATTGCATATTTGAGCACAGATGACTTATTTTTTTTCCTTTCCACATAATTTTTATAAGCAAATAAACAATTATAAAAATAGAAAAAGTTTTGGTTTAGCATTTGGTAGATAGTATCACCTGTGTGCTAGTGTTGTTTTTTTTTTTTTTTTTTTGAAGCCACAAAATCAACTATGAAATTCTGCATAGCGTTAGATTGTTGCTGTCTGCAGAGCACTTCCCTGACACAAAATAGAAAATGTTACAAATAGCAACTCTGATTTCAGATAATTTTACAAACATCCTGCATTCAGAGGGATTTCCATATAACTATTAGGGGTGATGTCCACTCACCTTGATGGACATACTGACAATTACATCCAGAACCAGAGAGAAGGAATAAGAATTTGCTAAAAAGGGATATTACCTCGCGCTCATATTTGGTCCTTTTCTGGAAAGAGGATAGAATTTCTAACATCTGTGCCAGTTTCAAACATCAGTTTGAGCCCCCTGCCTCCCCTTTCTAAGGGGAAATAGGAATACACTTGTAGAAGGAATTTTGAAAATTTTAAACACCATCTTAAACTGCACAAGCATTCTGCAGGGGAAAACATCTGAGAAGATTAAGTGTTTACTGAAATGGGAGGAGGGAGGGTGGGCTTTTTCTTAGTATTCTGAAAAAAATTTATTTGCTTCCCTTGAAGGCCTCTTTCATGTATTTTTTTTAAAGAAATTTTGCTGGAGGGTTTGTTGCGATAAGTATTTTTAGATAGTGCATATAGCTTTCCAATTATGAGTTTTTCTCAAATTGCCCAAGAGATCAGTATTATGAAATGTAGTACATTATTCCCATTAGTCACAGTAAATGTCTCTACATATGGTGCACACAGAGCAGTTCTAACCCCAGTGCTACAGGAGGAAAAAAAAGAAAATTTTGATTTCCTCTTTTATTCTTCTGTCAACTTCCTATGCTGCCTCCTTCTAGCAGTTTATCAAATTGATAATTTAAAAAGTCAAAAGTTGTTCCTTGGCATGTGAATTCTGATCTGTTTAAGATTGTTTTTTTGCCTATCCTGATAGTCATCAGGGGGGAAAAGTCCGCAACCAGGATTGGCTCACAGTGAAACGATCCCACATTATCCAGTTTCTCTCTCCCCTTGATTTATTTTTCTTGTGACTGTAGGTTCTTAACTTCAGTTTAAACTAATATTTCTTCCCTGCCCGACAGCCAGGTTTCAAGTAAACAAATGGAGATAGCTCAATTCACAGCTTTGGTAAACAAAAATATGCAAAGTCTAACCAAAGGACCGAACTTAAGATGCTCTAAACTAAACATGGAAATTAAGACTGGAAATAAATGAGGTAGAAGAGTTAGGAAGCAGGATCCCCTGTCTCTTCATGAGCCCTGTTCCCCGGCCAGACAAAGGCTTGACGCAATCTTCCTGTACCACAAAATGCTACTTAATGGGATTTTAATTTCCGGCCACAGTAATGACTTAGTTTGGGATGACCTAATATTCTTTTGTATATTTTAACAGGGATAGTTGCTGTGAATCCATGGTGGGTGTGACGGTCTGGTTGCATTGTTTTAGAACTGAGTGTTGAAAAGTTTTGCCAAAAGTAAGATGAATTCCAGAATTAAAGCAAGGAGGGTAAATTTGTAGGAAGGAGACCGTGGCTCTTCCTTTCCTGGTTAATGAACCTTCCCTGATCTTGGTAATACATGTTATCCTGCATGCTCATAGTGTTCATATCGCTCTTTCCCACCCGTGGGTAGATGGGGAAATCCTGCTTCTAATTAGGAAGGCACATTTTGAATCAGGAATGTGAGTTTGGTTTTTAACATCACACATAGGCTCAATGGGTGGTCGCTGTTTAAAATCCCACCCAACTGAGGAGTTGTACAAAGTTTCAGTCTTTGACAAGTTTGGGGACCAGTCATCATTGCCAGCTGTTTGAGGAGGAGGTGGAAGAGAAAGACCCTGCCTGCACCCTCCCCCAACTATTTTTGTTCCCGTGTTTCTGCTATGTTGCAACTATCCATCTAATACGCTAAGGTCTTTACAGTGGTGGGAGTTACAGTCGAATTAATCGATCCCCCTCTTTCCTACAACTCCTGCTGGATTTTATAAGTCAATCCCCTGATGGTTTACAAGGCCAGTTTTCCAACTTGCTGACAGCATATCTGTAGGGGAGATGGCACATGTAAACGCTATTGTACTTTATGGGCAAAAAGAGAGCAGCAAGGCAACTTGCTTGAGGACGTGTTAATCTGCAGCTCAGTTTGCAGAATAAATCTTCCCATGTGTTCAGAGACAGAAGACTGGGCGTCATGCATGTGTGTATGGGGGGTTATCACCCCATGAAGATGGTTTTCATGCTGCTTTTCTTGACTTTTATGTGGGATGTGCTTTAAGGATGCACCAGGGCCATCTGTGGCTGACTTTTTTTTTTTTTTTTTTGCACCTGCTTTCTCTCAGTCACACTCATGACCTGTCAGCTCCCAGTTGTCACTTTTCTCTGTGTTCCAACCTGGAAAACTGCACTAGAGGCTTTTCTGGACACCTTTAATAATTCTCAGTTTTGCAACTTTCCTGTAGGCTCTTTCCCAAAAGGTGTTTTTGAGTTTTGTTAGACTAATCCTTAAACCTGACCTTCAGGGTTGGGAGAACACAAGGTAAAATTATATTTTAAGCATGCTTTAATTTCTCTCTCTCCCTTTTTTTTGGGGGGGGGTTAGGGGGAGGCTTATTATGAGTTCATGATTAAACAAAACAATTTAGGATCTGCCTGACATTATTGAGTATAAAATGAGTGTCTTCACTTTAAATTAATTATTCAGTTTCTGGCAAGGAGGGTCAGAGAGGGAAAAACCCTGGACTGAGAGTGGGTGACCTGGACAAGCCAAATTAACCTTCTTAATCCAGCCTCTCCAGGGGTTGGAAATGATGGATGGTAACCTCTTCCAAAACTCAAATGAGGTGAGTGTTCAGGAGAATTGCTGAGTGATCATCAATGAAGAATGGCTTTCTTTGCATCCCTCCCCCTGTGACAGAGAATATGATTCTCGGCAGTTTAATTCCAGCCATGGGTGTAGGTACATGTTTGTGACATTGACCACCCATGAAAACAACCGCCACAAGAAGAATTAAATACTTTCTCCAGGATTTGCAAAGAGTATTTGGATCGGGGACATGATTTAAAGTCAGAAGAGTAGATGATAATGTCAGTGAAAAGAGGCATTTGAAATGGTTTTCTAATCTTTATAATGGGAAGTATAAAACAATTATTTTGGAGTATTGCTCATTTTGCAATGTTAAAGTAAATCCTTGGGTTTATAAAAACAATACAGTGTTCAATTTAGCAGACAGATCCAGTGATTTTCATGTATCTGAATTGGATGAATTATGGGCAAGTGGGAATGTATTTGGCGAAATTAATCAACTTTAAAGGCAGAAATGTAAATGTACAAGCCACCAAGTGTGATAGGATCCTGGCTGAGCCTGAACTCCAAAAACAGTGGCGTTTGCTGACAAAAGTGGCACTTGCACTTGCCTAAAGTGGCCCTGAAAACTCTTTTCTGTCTTGCAGATGTTGTGTTTATCCCAAAGCTGGGCCTCAGGTTTAATGTGGGCTCACTGAATCAAGAGACCAAAGGAATGTTTCCAGAGCTTCTGAAGGACAGGGGTGTCCCGGCCAGAGCTGTGTGCTCCCCAGCTAGCAGGGAATAGAGAAAAGTTATTTGACATTAAGATATTTTTTAAACCTTGCCTGAGAAGGGAAACTAGTTGTGTGATTAAATCTTGACATACAGACTTTAAGTAATGTACAGAAATGAGGACATAAATATGGAAGGATATTTATGGCAACATTGTCTAGAAGAGCAAAAAATTGGAAACCACCTAAATATTTCTCAGTTGGGAAAATAAACGGTGTCTGTACAATATCATGTACCAGTTAGCCACTAGAATGATTTTATTGATTCATATCAATAAAAGTTAACTTTTATTGATATGAAGAGAGGACCATATACTATTGTTAACTAAAAACAACTACACACAGAACGTATTCAAGGATTTTGTGTTCGTTTTTAAAAAAATGTGTATGAGTGTATGTGTTAGCAATTTCAAGCTTGGAAAAGTAGCTATAGAACAAATATAAAAATGTGGACCATGGTTCTAACTCTGGGTGGTGCAATGTAGTGGTTTGTCTTATTTTCTTCCATATATATATATATATATATATATTTTTTTTTTTTTTTTTTCATTGCATGTTATTGCAATCAGAAAAAAAAATACTTCTATGTTTAAACAAAACAGAGTAGACATTTCACATTGGTACCGCACTGTCTTCAACATAGTGCTACCCTTTAGCATCTTGGAAGGCCTCTGAGAGCTGTTTTAGCCCACCCTCCCGGTTTTCTAAGTAAGGCAAATGAACATCAGAGAGGCCAACTGAACTGTTTAAAGTCACACAGTGTTCAGGCTGAGACGAGCATCCCCAGCTTCTCATCTGTTATGTTTTCTGCTAGGCTCTTCTTTGTCTGCCTGGAAATGGAGGAGAGAGAAGTGAAGGCCATTTGTAAGTTAATCATTTATCTTCAGACTCTCATCTGCTCATGCGCCCTGCATGACTGAGAAGAGCACCCTTGGGTGTGTCATGTCCTCCCTGTGCTGTGCTCCTGCCCCCACGTGGCAGGATCCCGGGTCTCTTCAGGGCATCTCATGCTCTGTCTTCCTGCCAAACAGAAGCTGAGCATCACATTTTCTCCTCGGCTCATCGTGGTTCAAGGTTACTTTATTCTGGGCCTTAATAGGGAAAAAGCCAAGATCTGCTTTCCTTTCATACACAGAAGCATCCTCTCGACACCCTTGAAACTATGGTGGAGATACGAACCTTTTAAAGTATAACCACATACCTAATATTTACATTAAAGGGAGTAAAACACATTTACTTCTCAGTCCCGAGCCAGCGACAGGAATGCCTGTTATTGTTTCTGTCACCCTGTCCGTCACTCACTCTGCTTTGAATGGGTTTCCACCAAGGGTGCAATTTTGACTGTATTATACCTTCCTTTTAGAGAGCGACACTTGCGTTCTTGTTTGCTCTTGGGCATTCTCTCTCCTATTTCTTCCCCTGAACTATTTGAAAGTAAGTTACATAATGATGTTGTTATATTGGAGGAAACTAGTCTCATTTAAATTTTAGCTAACAAACGCTAGATTTTTAACTTTTTCTGAATTTTCAGAACAATGTCTGTCTTGGCAGGAGTCTCACCCCCCATTTGGTTCCTCAGGGCCTTTATTCCAGGAATCTCTTTCTTTTACCTATCAGATGCATCCACCTCTTTGTGAAGACATCAGAGATTGCAGCCAGTTGTCCCACAGCATGCACAGCGATCTGGAGTCTGTTGTTTCCTTATTCAGGGTGGTGCTTTGGCAGTGATGCACCACGGGTGATGTACATCTGAGTGTGATCCCTGGTTAACAGGGTAATCCCCTGCTCTCTCCATTGTAAAGGGACATTTTTCTCTGTGATTGTAAGTGGTCTGTGGGGTGGTACTCTGAAGCCTGTGGATATTCTGTTTCCCAACAAACTTTCTAGTGTTTTTTTTTTTTTCTTTTAATTGGACCAAATTAAAAAAAAAAAAAAAACACTTCCAATGTAACATGTGGAACTAGAAAGATCGATAAATATCACCTTAGAATAGATGAATTTGGATTTATAGTTTAAATTGAACAGCAAGGCTGTTTGCATTCTACCCGCCTGTAGATATTAGCTTGAGTCTCTAGATTTTTCCATTTCTGACTTGAAGAGGTTCAACTGATGGGCCAGCCACTTCCCACTTAACTCCTGTAGGAAGCTGCAGTGCTGTTTTAATGTCCGTACAGGGTGACTATAAATCCCTTTTAATGGCAAGAAGTGGTGCTAGTGTATTTTTTAGTAGCTCATGAGATTTTGGGGGCATCTTCTTGAAGCAGTGTTGAGTTTCCTTGTAGAAATCTTTTATCTCCCTTTTCAAGAGCACTATATGAAACTGACTTTAAAAATGACTGATGACCTGCCCCCGATGGCCTCAACCAGCAAGTCCGGGAGCCGGTCGGTGAGTAGCAGTTTATTCATGCTTTTTAGATTTAAGTTACACATCTATTTTTGCCTGTTCCCGTTTGGTATTCTTATTTTCATACACAAAATGTGACCGAGTTGGGAAAGTGGTGTGGAGTGGCAAAAGGAATCAGGAGCAGGCTCCTGCTGCTCTGTGCTCTAGATTCAGCTTTGCCTCTACCAACCGGGAGCCTCGGTGTTCTTATCTGCAAAAGGGAACCATAGTAAATAGCAACTAACCTTTTGCTGAGTGCTTCCTGTGTGCCAGGTCCCATTCTAAGCACTCTACGTGTGTTTAATCTAACTTGGTGATTTAATCCAACAATAATCTATGAAGTGCTGTTATTCTTCCCATTTTACAGATGAGGAAACGGAGCCCCAACTTTACAAGGACTCAGAAAAGCTAAGAAAATAGTATTTATTAAAAAAACTGGTGGAGCTGGGCTAGGAATGGAGATTGTTATGTAAATTCATTTCTATGTAAATATCTTTCCTTAAGAGAATTTATAGAAAATCTATCATGAAGAAAAGACAGGAAAAAATAGTTAAAATAAATTTGAAGTAGGTCAAGTTTAATTTGAGACAAACTAAGCAATCCAATGAAAATTTTTTTCCTCTTTTCTTTTTAGCTTTAAGTGTGCCTTTTAGTTTAAAGTGAAATCCATATCCCAATTTAAATTCCATGAGCAAATCCGACTCTGGCATTTGATTCACGGTCTTACTTTGCTTGTTATGCATGTTAGGCCAGACCTGAATTTGATGCTCACAGAGAGTATATAAACACTTATAATCCTCTCAGCATGTGCTAAAACAATAACAGATATGATTGTTTGATTTGCAAAGTGAGCATCTGCCAAGTTCTACCAGATCATTTTTGAACCAATTCAGAAAAACCAGGATTCAGCAATGATTAAAGTGTCTCAGGGTCCTGTTAATAGCAAGAGGCATTCCTGCGTTGAAACCTGGTCACCCAGAGCTCTGTCACTCTCCGCCCCTATAAGCTTCTTGAGCTGCCTTTGCAGGCATCGTTACAGGTGCTCTTTTGCTTGAAGAAACAGTGGTATGTAAAAGCCAGACGGAAGAGAATCAATGAATTAGGAAAAGATTGATTGCTTTTGATCTGCAGAAGGGTTTACAGTAAGAGCCAGTGAAACAGTGAGTTCCTCAATGTGTTGTAAGTAGCAAACATTCTGTGACTCAGAGACGCAGTAATAATTTACAAACATTTAATTTTTTCAGTTATTACAGAGAGATAATTGAAGTTCACCAAACTGCACGTCATCAAACAATTAAGATAATAAACATTTTTTCTACCGTCCTCAAAGTTTCTTCATTCTCTTTGTCCTTCCCTCCTCTCCTTGACCATTACTTTCTGTCATTACAGATTAGTTTGTATTTTCTGGAATCTTATAAAAATGAATCAAAACAAGGCTGGGGATGTGGCTCAAGCGGTAGCGCGCTCGCCTGGCATGCGTGCGGCCCGGGTTCGATCCTCAGCACCACATACAAACAAAGATGTTGTGTCCACCGAGAACTAAAAAGTAAATATTAAAATTCTCTCTCTCTCTCCCTCTCTCTTTAAAAAAAAAATGAATCAAAACATATACTTTTTGGGGGTGGGGGGAAGCGGGCTTCTTTCAATCAGCATAATAATTTGGGAGAGGATTTTTTGTTTGTTTGTTTAAAGAGAGAGAGAGAGAAGAGAGGAGAGAGAATTTTTTAATATTTGTTTTTCAGTTTTCGGTGGACACAACATCTTTATTTTATTTTTATGTGGTGCTGAGGATTGAACCCAGTGCCCTGTGCATGCCAGGCGAGCGCATTACAGCTTGAGCCACATCCCCAGCCCCTTGGGGAGGATTTTTTTACAAAATTGTGATAAAAATACATATAATCTTTCTGTGTTAGTCCATTTTCTGTTGCTATAACAAAATACCCAAGACTGGTTACTTTATAAAGAAAAGAGGTTTATTTAGCTAACAGGTCTGGAGGCTGAAAGGCCAAGATCTGGAGGCCTCTTTGGTTTGGCTTCTGGTGAGGGCTGCCTTGGCTATGTCACCACAGGGCAGACAAGTGGAAAGGGAAAAACCTGCATACAGAAGATGGCAAATGTGTGAGGTGACCTCAATTTATAGCAACTTGTTCTTGGGAGAATGGACTAAAGTCCTAGGGGAACTATATTAATCTCTTTTGAGTGCAGCAATCTTAATAACCTAATGACCTTTCACTAAGCCCCATCTCTTAAAGCTCCATCAGCACAACAGAGTCACACTACCACACTGAAGACCAAGCTTCTAGCACATGAATCCTAGGAGGACAAACCACATTGGAACTGTAGCAATAACGTCTACCTTTTAGTATTTTGAAGTGTGTGATCTAGTGATGTCAAGTACGTTCACAATGCTAGGCCACCATCACCACCACCTAGTTCAGTACGTTTTACCACCCCAAAAGGAAAACCCATACTTATTAATCGGCTACTTCCCATCTTCTCCCCAGCTCCTGAAAACATCTAATCTACTTCTGTCTCTGTGAGCTTGCCTATTCTGGGTATTTCAGATAAGTGGGATCACACAACAAGTGGCCTTTTTTGTCTGACATCTTCTGCTTAGCATCATCCGTACTGTGGTGTGTATCTGTACGTGATTCCTCTTTATTGTTGAATAATATTCTGTTGATTGGTAGCAGTTTGTTTATCCATTCACCCATTAGTAGACATTTGGGTTGTTTCCACCTTTGACTATTGTGAATTGTGCTGCTATGAACATTTGTGTGTAAGTTTTTATTTAAACATCTATGTTTAGTTCTTTTGAGACTCTGTCTTGGAGGGGAGCTGGTGGGTTATAGGTAACTCTGTTTAATTTATTGAGGAAGCTTCTAACTGCCTTCCAAAGCTCTGTGCCATTTTATATTTTCTCCAGCAGTGAATGAAGATTCTATTTTCTCTACATCCCTGCTAACGCTTGTTTTATTATTATTATTATTATTATTATTATTATTATTATTGCCACCCTAGTGGGCATGAAGTGGTATCTTGTGGTTTTATTTCACTAGTGATTAATGACATTGAGTTTCTTTTCATGTGCTTGTTGCCCATTTGTGTATTTTCTTCGGAGAAATGTTTATTCAAGTCTGTCATCCATTTTTAAACTGAGTTGTTTGCATTTTTGTTGTGGAATTGTCAGAGTTCTTTATAAATTCTCAATTCCAGTCCCTTAACCAGATATATGGCTTGCAAATATTTTTTCCCATTCTGTAAATTTTCTTTTTGCACAATGATTTTGAAGCTACCTGTGTTGTTGCTTACATCAGAAGTCTGGGCCTGCCACGCTATGCCTGTGATTCTGGCTCCTCAGGAGGGTGAGGTGGAAGAATCGCAAGTTTGAGCACAGCCTGGGCAACTTAGCAAGACCCTAAAAAATAAAATAAAAAATAAAAATAAAAAAGGGCTGGGGCATAGCCCAGTGATAGAACTCTTACCTAGCGGGTGTGAAGCCCTGCATTCCCTCCCCAGGGCCTTTTTTTCCCCTTGCCAAATAGTATTCTGTTCATGGATGCAGCACAGTTGCTTATCCGTTCTTCTCCTGATGGACATTCAGCTTGTTTTCCAGGTTGGGCTGTTGCAGATAAAGCTGGTGTGAACATCACTTTGCAAGTCTAGCATGTTGATGAAACCCTTCAAGGGATTTAAAGAGCACACACTTTTTCATCTTAGTCTTCAATCACTCCTTAGATTAGTTGTTTTTTTTTTTTAATTTTCTTCCATTGATGTATCTTCCTCCTTGTGTGTGTGTGTGTGTGTGTGTGTGTGTGTACACGTACCAGGAATGGAACCCAGGGGCCCTTAACCATAAGCCACATCCCCAGCTCATTTTTGTATTTTACTTAGATACAGGGTCTTACTGGGTTGCTTGGGGCTCTGCTAAGTTGCTGAGGCTGGCTTTGAACTTGTGATCCTCTTGCCTCAGCCTCCAGGCCCCTGGGATTACAGGTGTGTGCCCCTGCACCCAGCTCTTCCTCCGATGTTTTCATTTGACAAATAAGTATCACTATGAAAACTGGAACACAAGGTGATTGAGACAACAAAACATAAAACTTCAAGCTCGAAGGGACCTGAGCTCTTGTTTTACAGAAGAGGGGACTGGGTATGGGGAGGAGCCCAGGTGGATTGGAGGCCATGAAGCATTGGAGAAGTCCAGTGGAGCAGGGTGGTCCTGCGCCTGTGGGGGTGACGCGGAATCTCTGCCCATGCAGCCTCTACAGAAGCTGCAGTGCTGGGGGTGACCTGTGCATGTGTGCAGTGCTTTGCATTCACAGGGTGCTTTGTTTCCTCCTAGGTTATCCCTTTTAATCCTCCAGCAACCCTGTGAAGTAGGTAGGGATTAAGTAGCTAGCAGTGGCCCAGGGTCCCTTGGCCAATGACCCGAGAACCCAGGCTCAGGGCCAGGCCTTCCCTCTCCCTCCAACTTGCATTCCCTCCTCCCTTTCTTTGCCCCCTGCCTCCTCTGGCCAGGCCTGGCTCCTGACATTTCTTTCTCTACACCAGGGCAGCCTTCATCTTGTCCTCTGCTTGCTGAAAGCCCGGTGGGGCTTCTCATTGCCTGGAGGTCAGGTTTCAGAATGCTTTCTGGAGCCTTCCAGATCTGCCCCTGCGTAGCCCTGCAGTCCTGTCGGGGCTGCCCTCCTGCTTCCTCTGCCTGCCTATGCCATCCTCTCCCTCCTCGACTAGAACATTCTAGTTCATTCTGGTGGGTTCTCCTGAGCCCTTACCTCTTCCAGGAAGCTTTCCTTGACCTGGAGCATGCAGTACTGACCCCATGCTTCCCTCTGTCGGTCTCCCATAAAGACTCTGCAGGCAGGGTCAGTGCAGCCTCCGCCTGCTGAGGTCCCTGGTGCAGCTTGTTGAATACAGGGAGAATAAAGAACTTCACTGCAGCCCGACTCTCCTCCTAACTGACCTGGGGATGAGAAAAACTGCATGGGATGGTCTCACAGGTG